AACTCATAAATGGCAGAGGATTGAGCAGTGAGGCTGCAGGGGCATGTTCTATACAACAAAACTGATTCATTAAGCTTAAGTTGTTCAGGTGACTATAGTGTCCCTTTAAATCTGAAATTCACTTTGAATACACTTTTTCCACTTTAGTTAATAAACCCCAATAATGTATGCTTTAACACTAGCAGGAAGTCATGAACTTCCCTAGCTTTAACCCCTTAAGGACACATGACGGAAATATTCCATCATGATTCCCTTTTATTCCAGAAGTTGTGTCCTTAAAAAAAAAAAAAAAAAATCTTGTCTACTGGCATACACCTGAATCCCTAAAGAGATGGGGGATTATGAATAATGGCATTTAGCACCCAGGCATACTTTCAATCTGCTCTGGCTTCCAAAACGGTGGCATAATAAAATCATCTCACATTACCCAGTTTTCAACCCACGAGTTTGGAAATTCATCATTGACTTTCTCATTAAAAAGGACAATTTCAAAGACGGCAGCATTGTCTGATAGAACAGAAAAATTTACTGAGCTATGGAGAACTTGGCTCTCGTACATTTCACTTAGGCTGGGGGAGGCACTGGGGGCAAGTGCAGGTCAGGGGTGCGTCTCCTGGAGCGGGGCAAACGTGAGGCTTTCTAGATGGTTGGTGTGGGTGGTCAGGTGGGGATAAACGCCTAGAGGAGAGAGGGATTGGGATAAGCAACAAGCATGCTAGCATGACTACTGGTCTAGCCAACTTCAAAAGAGAGTTACACAAATGTATGCATTCCACTCCTATCTCTTACTCCACCATGAACCTTGTGTCGGTGCCTGCTATCATACTGTCCGATCCAGTGAGTGGCAATCACTGATTGCAGAATAGCTACATGTAGTGGTTAAGCGGTCCTAGGCCATAATTGCTAAATATTATAACCGTTTACCTTGTTGAGGTTGTGAACTACTAAAAGTAAATTACTATATTTTACATCCGTTAACTTCTCTTTTACATAGCAATCTTGATGTAAATACTATTAAGGTTGCAATAAAGAGAGTCAGAGAAAAGTGCAGTCAGAGAAAAGAGAAAAAGAGGGGGGTTTGAAGATGTACCCAACTTTGTTCAAATTTCCATGTTTTGATAGAACAAAGCATAAAAATCGAAAAAGATTGTCAAAACTTTTTTTTTAAGGAACATTTTTAAGCACCATGACCACTACAGCCTTCTTTCATAGTTATGGTGACAGGAGTGCCCAGGTGTTTTCCCACAGTAAGAGGTCAAAGAGGATTAGGGTCTAAATGCGTCTAGTGGCTGTCACTTAGCCTCTAAAAGGTGCTTCCACCGAAACAGAAAAACTGTTCTAGAGTCATAGAGACCATCCGATTAGAGTAGTGTGGCATTTTGCCATGCACAAACCTCACAATACTTTAAGGGAAAGCTTTGGATTGCCTGAAATCATTGATCGCCATAATCTCGGCCTAGGAGGCGGAGCTTCCTTGCAGAGATCTGTGTTGCTAGGGAAAGAACAAAAGTAAAATATCTCTTTTTACTCTCTACAGGTGGGGGCCAGTAACCTAAACAGCTAACTGTCCAATATAGTGTTTGGAATACACATTTAAAATCCTAATGCTGTAATGATCCTTTGACCCTCATGCAATGTTTCTGAATCGTCACGTCTGTAATCCTAAATTACAAGATCTGCTGGTGCTCTATAGAGGAAAATACATATAAACCTCAAGCAACATTCTCCCATCAACCTCATGGCACACCCAGTAGAGCATTATTCTTTAGAAGATCAAGACGACAAGTCTCAACCTGGAAAGTACACACTGCTTGGTCACGGATATCCCTTCAAATAAACCAAGCCCACTGTAAATGGCCTTGTCTTGAGATTAAAATTGTAGTTTATAGATTGCATTTCATGTCTGAGGTCTTTCTGAACCCCTGAAGGACAAATGACAGCAAGCAGCCATAACCATCTCTTCTAAGGACCTATTAATTTGATTAGAAGCAAACAGTTGCCGTTAGTCAAGTATGACATTCAGGCCCGGACTGGCCCTCTGGCATATGCCCAGTGGGCAGCGGCCAACAGGGAAGATCATAGGATCTCCCCTGCCAGGCCCATGCAGAGCTGCACCGGCCCTAAGAGGGGCCGGAGGAAGGGATTCGCGAATCCGTGCAGCCTACCCGCCTCCCTCTTGCAAGCTCCGTAATACCGGCACTTGCGAGAGGGAGAAGCATGGTCTGTACCGTACGGAGGTACTGGCCGAATAACCTGCCGGCTGGACCACAAAGGATCATCATCAGCATGCTCTCCTTGACCCCAGCAAGGTAATTAGAGGGAGGGGGGCGTGAAATATATATTTTAATAAACCCACTACACCTGCCATCCTATTGACACACAAGACACTCTCTATACCCCTTATATACACCCTATGCACTCAAAAATACATACTGCACACGCAATAGCCCTTTTAATACACACAATAAACCCCTGCACTAACACACAAATACATTACACACTCTTTACCCCTTATACACACACACACACACCATACACACGCCCCCTTTTTTACCCTGCCCCTCAGGGTGGGCTGCTCTGCCATTAACTGCCCGGGCTGAATTTTCATCCAAGTCTGGCCCTGATGACATTCCATCCTGACAATGTTCTTAGGGACTAGTCTGCGATGGCCAAGTTTAACATTGGATCTTAAGGGGTTACTCTACTAAACTAATGCAAGTGTAAGAAATATTTGATCTAACAAATAAAAAGGTCTACTTTCCATCACAGAAAGTAGAAGCCTAATGTCAAAGTCTGATGTTCATGAAGATTATTCTAACCATTATTAATCCTGTAATGGTTGTGTTTTACCATGTACTTTCAGGTAAAGTCTAATTAGCAGTTTGCAAAAAATTAATAAGTGGTTTTCTGTTAAACTGAAGGGGTATGTTGGCATTAATGACACATGCAGGTTCTAGAAAGGCGGGTAATATATAGCAATTTATGATAAAAAAAAAATGCTACAGGTTCATTTTGTCATATCCTGTCATCTCAGCCAACAGTCATCTTTTATATAAAAATAATCATTTTGACTAAATCCTTAATTACATTTCGATCTTTGTACAAAATAATTGCAGTTTTCCTATTTGGCTAAGTATATGTAGCTAAAAGGCACTGTCATTGCAGATTCCAATTTGCAAATCAATTTACGTGCATTGGAACCTGCTATATAGTGCATGAAAAACTTAATTTGAAACAGTTTGTTTCATATCTAGTCCCAAAAAGTACAGTCTTTAGTAGTTTCACACTTTTGTTTTAGTGAAAATAATGATAAACCCTGTAATCCTTGAGGACTAGGTAAGGCAATCAGTGCCTTAATCCCTTCCTCCCCACCCCACTGTAAACATTCGACAATTTTAATTTTGCTAAATTTTACCCAACATCCACTTACCTTCCCCTTTTCTCCAGAACTGGCTTTCACCTTGACGATAAACATTTCTTTGCTGGGATCCATTACATCCCTCTGCATCTTTGCTCTAGGACTGTTAACATAGACTTACCCTCCATTCACACACTGTATAGAAGTATTCTTTACAGTGTCAAAGTACTAGGCTTTAATTAAATAGCCAATAGTTACAAGTACATTACAATAGCCTAAAAATGAACAATATAGTACAGATGCTTGGTATAACTGTACTTCCTATGTGTGGGCATTATATGCTCTGCTTAAGCATAACTCACAAGTGGCATTTTTAAGAAGCTGTATTCCCACAAATAGCATTAAGTCTGAACACATTACCTATTAGTATGATATTTGGCCATTTTGGTAATATACCACTGTAACTAACCATTTGTTTTTATATAACACGCAGTCCACGATTCTCTTGGTATGCCTGTTTCAGTCATTTTAGATTACCAATAGTTCCATGAAGAATAGAAATTGTGCCAATTTACATATTTGTATTTTAGGTATCCACAAGCAGCAATTCATACATGAAATTGCCATTTTATCCTACACTTGTAGTTATGCATATTTTATATGAATAAGGAAAATAAATTATCTAATGATAACTGATTGATTATAGATAGGAGCATGTAGAACAGGTGAGAATGTGTACCAATTGGAGTAAAGTACAAATTGCTTGGTCTATTTGCCAATAAATGGAGGAGGGGAAAAAGTGGAGTAGAGTATCTCCAACACTCTCAATGGCGACGGACGATTTCTCAAAGTGGGGACGTAAACCACTAAAAAAAGAGGGGAGATGGGGGAGCTGTAAAATCAGAATATACCATCGAGGGGACATTTGTTTTACAGGGATTAAGGGATGAAGAGGTTTACACTTTTCAAAATATTGTCCTCTCAGTGGTCTATTCTCCTTGTATGGGAAATGGTAGTAACTCCAGTCCACATCTGAACTTGACCCAGTCATGGTGTGCACTTCAAACAACACCTAGTTCATATTGCACTATTTAGTAATATTTTTGAGTATAAAAGTTCTAATTCACAGTCTGAATACTCCTCTTTCACTAAAATGCTTCCCTCCTGAACTATAAATCATATTTACAGATACACACTTCTGCTCAACTGTTTGTTTTATTATTGAGAAACAAGTCCTAATGCAATCCATGTGTTAAATACACACACGGATTCTGCCAAAAATGCCTTCTACACCAAGCAAATCTTCCACTCAGACAAGTCTTTTAAAAGGGGCACTCAAAGTACCATATTCAATGCAGCTCATTATAGTTGTAGTAGAGGCTCCATCACCTACATGATTTGTCATTTGGAGTGGGTGGGGTTCTCTCTGGCACCCATAGTTAAGCCTTTTTTGCAGCTGTATGCACGATACAAAAAGTACTCTTACACATTATCACTGCTGATCTATCCAACCATGAATGACTGATCGGCAGATTGAGGTGGTTTAATCAAGCACCCTTGGCTAGTTGGACTGATATTACTTCCAACCTGATCAATGCAAATTATTGCATGTTGCTTTTCTTCCTCAAGACTGCAATATTACTTAAAGATTAGATTATTATTCATTTAGTTTAGATAAGGGTGCCATCAAACCACCCATCTCTAAAAAAAAAAAAATAATAATAATAAGTTCACTCACCAGAAATCCAGCAACAGGCAGTTTGTTGGGCAGTCGCTCTTACTCGGAGACCATCCGTTAGAACACTGGCCTAATCCCAAGCATTAGGGATCTACCAGGTATGGGCAGCAATCTACATGAAATATGCCAAGCATTCAGAAATGTGCTTCAAGTGGCTGACAGAATTATGATCCAACAGTCTGTAGATGCATTCTAAGAAATGTAAGTATGGTTGTTTCTCACAAAATGGCAATGTTTACAATGTGTGACACACTAAAACATGGCTCAACAAATCCCAGGTCACCATGGAGACTAGGAGTTTTGTTCTGGCACATAGGTGTTTGTCCCCCAGGTTAGCATGGGCCACCTTCATTGTTGGCAGCTGTGCGATACGAAGGTGGCGAAAGAGCTGTGACCTTACTGCTCTTCTCCCTCGCACATCCAACAGTGGTGCCAAGATATGAGGTCATTCTGAAGCAGAGCAAAAGAACTTGAAGATTACAGGATCACATCAGCTCCATTGGACGACAGGGAAAGGTTTCACTTCAGATATTCCAGAGGTAAAGAGGCTGGGTGGACTTAAATTAAAACAAAGTTGTGTAGGTGTGACTTCTTTATGTGTAAATTTAAAGAAAACGACCTATATTCCTTACACTATAATGCAACTATTTAGGCGACTGAACCCAGCTGGTCGCATTCAAAAGGTATTTTTACTCCCTTTCCCCCCCCCCAAAACACTGGTGTTGCGGCTGGCCTGTCAACATGGCAAAGATCAACCCTGAGGATCTCAGACAATCCAATGCTTTCCCATAAGAAAGTATTGGGAGGCCATTACACATGCGCAGCAATCAGTATCTCCTCAGAGATGCACTACGGGGAATGTTCTGACATTGAATCTAGATGCTGCACACACTGCAGCACTGAACTTAAACACCTCTAGTGGTCGCTTGAGTGACTGCAAAAATTGGTGTAACTAGGCAGTAATGTAAACAATGCCAGAGTTTACATTGAAAAGTGTGCAGGGACAGGCTATAGTCACTAGAACCACTACATTAAGCTGTAGTGGTTCTTGTGACTATAGTGTCCATTTAAGATCTTGTCATTGTTGCCGTTGGAAATAAAGCTTTGTTTTAAAAATTTGGCTCCTGGAGCCAAAAGCAAATTTGCAAAGCCTTGCATTAAGATGTAGGGGTTTTGGTGCTTAGAATGTCTTTTTTTTTTTTTTAAAGCAAAATATTAAACTAAACCTTCACCAACCAGGCCAATAAAATATTTGGGGAAAAAATGCCCAAATAGAGTCAGTTTTCCGATCATTAGTTGAACAGCAATATCATGAACAGGTTTTGATGGAAATGTATGACTTGTTTAAATTAAACAAGTCCAAAAAAAAAACAATGTTTCCCACTTCAAAGATGTCACCCTCTTAAAACTTTTCTCCTTCACTCTGTCAGGAATAACAGTTTGTAAATGGCAAGATTCATTCTAAATCCAGACTCCTCCTCCTCCCCCCCGTACTGACTGCAAACTGGTGGGTCTTTTATATAATGGTTAAAATTGCACTGGAGGAACGATACATTTTTATATGAAAGTATGGAACCTAAAATGTTTCATAATATCTAGATGGTAAGCTCTTTCAAGTATTCTCTCAAACTATTATTCCTGTGACAATTTGTTATTGTTACATTTATGGTTAAATTCCCTCTTTATAAATACTACCGTGTTTCCCTGAAAATAAGACCGGCCTTATATTAAATTTATTTCCCCTCGAAAAACGCACTAGGGCTTATTTTTGAGGAAAAACGTGCGCTAGAAAGCAGGTCTATGTTCGGGGGAATTCCCCCGAACATAGACTATTTCACTAGTGCATGGAATCCTGCAAATCTATGTTTGGGGAAACTTCCCCGAATATAGATTAGTTCACTCTCGAATGGAATCTTGCGTATATGTTTGGGGAAACTTTCTTGAACATAAATGAGCTTACTCGCGAATGGAATTCAGTGAATCTACGTTCTGTGAAAATTCCCCGAACATAGATCGGAGAACGACTAGGGCTTATTTTCTAAGGCTTATATTAGGAGCATCTTATTTTCGGGGAAACACTGTATATAGTAAAGCACTGCAGAATAATAAGTTGACGTTTTAGAAATTGTCACTGTCCTGGCATAGACTAAACTTAAGCACAATCGAAGTCAAAATGAGTACAAATGAAGGAGAACATTTAGGAGTCTGAATAACGTTGGTTATAACAATGTTTTTTTGGGGGGCAGGGAGGTTGGTGGGGGTTATTTGTTAGAATGTGCAAAAGGGAAGAAAAAAAATAAATAAACCTAAGACTTCAAAGTCACATTTACCGATGCAGTGCAAAAAAAAAAAAAAAAAATCCTGATTTTACAGATTAGAATAATTTGCCATTGGGCACAAACCTTTACAGCTAGTAAGCACTATCCACATCTGCTCCTGGCACCAGTGGCTATACTGAAGGGATCTCCTTCCAAGAGCGTATTCTTCCTTGGCGGAAACCATTCTTTCATATCTAACTTTTTAGATATGTATGCTGAAATTTTGCTAATTAATTTTCACCCTCAAAGACTATGGTAAAAATGACCTTGACTGCCAAGTGGTAACCAGTCTCTCTCAAAAAACATGATCACTTACTCTCAAATAAGAAAAAAAAAAAATTCTCTTAGAGACACTTTCGCATGACAAATATTAGTACTTCAAAGCGTATTTCCTGTGAAGAATTGCATACGCTTCACTCTAATCACCAAACACGTTATCAAACCAAACATTTAAAATATAACCTGCGCATTTGTATACCAGAGTCTTACACTTCATGTAATGACATTTTCCCCACACACAATTATTTTGTTGTTTTCTTCTCTCCCCTGATAACTATCCATTAATGTGTATAATTTCACCATGGCAAGTGGAAATGTATGGGCAACAACATGGTATGTTCGCTTTATATGTATTTATGTATAGGTCTTTGTTTTACTCATGTGCTTTCATAGAAAAAAACCTGTAGTTGATGTACATCATAAAAGTCTTCAAAAACTTAAAAGGGACACTATACTCACCAAAACAACTTTACCTTTTTGAAGTAAGTTTGGTGTATAGATCATGCAAATGCAGTCTCACTGCTCAAATACCTGCCATTTAGGAGTTAAATCACTTGTTTCTGTTTACACAGCCCTAGCCATACCTCCCTGCATGTGCCTTGCACAGCCTTCCTAAACACTTCATGTAATGAGTCAACCAATGTTTGAAACTTCCTTTATTGCAAGTTATGTTTAATTTATCATCTCTTGCTCTGCCAATAGCATGAGAGACCCTAGTCAATTTATAGAGCAAGAGATAAAAATGTCTAAAGTAAGTTACATCTGAAAATGAACCATTTTGTTTTCATGTAGGCTGTGTCAGTCACAGGCAGGGGAGGTGTGGCTAGGGCTGCATAAACAGAAAGACAGAATTGAGCAGTGAGATTGCAGACGCATGATTTATAGACAAAAACCACTTCAGTAAGCTAAAGTTGTTTTGGTGACTATATTATCCCTTTAAATGAGAGGGGGGGAAAAAAGTGTTTTGTTTTGTTTTTTACATTAGACCGGTACGGAAAAGAGGATTACAGAAACATGTTCAGAAAAAGAAGCAAACCAAAAAAAGGAATATTCAAGTATGTAGGTATACCGTTTTCCTGGCATTGTTGGTTTGAGAGAAGAAGAAGAGAGTATTGCTGGAACCCAGGAGTGTAACTCCCATGAGTCTTAAGCAGTCACAACAGGTGTATGTACCAGGGCCCCCAAGTCAGTCATACCTTGATGTACAGTATTTCAACGCATGATCTGTCTGCTTTCACTTTTTATTACATGATCATGTTTTTCAATCAAGTACACTTTCACAGCTGCAACTGGATACAAATGTACTAGCATGCCCATGAATAAATGGATTATTTACTAAAAAGTGTCACGTGAATTCAAAGTAAATTTGAAATGTAAGGCCATATTTGCTGAATGGAAAGCATAAGTGACTGAGAATTTTTCCAGTTCAGTTTTTTTGACCTAAAATTCTAAATTCTCTAAATTCCCTTTATCGAATAACCATGTAGAAGTTACACTTCCTCCAGTGATTTAGTCCGCTTCTGTTACCAATATGCAGGTGAAGAAGGTGAGGAGATGCGTTTCTTTCTCACCAGCACTCATTCCAACATTTTAGCAACAGGGCATTGAATTAAATTCAGCAGGCATAAATAACAGCTTGAGAGGTGTGGGGGCAAGCATGGCTTTAAGTATGTAATGCACAAATCATCCTTATATATTTTCTATCAAAATATTTGTGGGTACATAAATACATCTATGAGTCTCTACTTCATTAACTGAGTGCCAGAAGGTAAAACAAATGCACTGCTTCCTACACTGAAAAGACCATTGGGAGGGTAAGGAGAAAATAAATTAGTCATAACTACTTTAAGGGACATTTGAATTTAGCCCTGAGCTGAGTATCAGGTAGGTTTGACATTATCTTAACACAGCTTCAACTCAGTAATTATGAATAGAAACAAAAGTTTCTTATGGTGGCAGATCCTATATCCTTATTCATAAAAACACCTGGATCTGAATTTAAGAAACAGAAGGACTCAAAACATGATTCTCCTTATGTTATTTTATTTATTGTGGATGTGAGAACAAAATATTGCTTGCAATAGCAAGCAAACTCTTCAGAAAAACAGCCACTACGAGATTACTCCCAAATATTTAAATAATGAAAACAGAAAAGAAACGTGTGCATTGCTTTTGCAAGGTTTCCATTACCATGTATTTTTCCATGTAGGAATTGTGCTATCAAAATCCATGTTATAAGACAATCTGATAGATATATATAGATATATATATATATCCTGAAGAGGAGTATTACAAACTGAAAACCACTATTGGCCCTAAGATTGTTTGCAATATTGAATAATGTGAAGATCAGTAATATTACATACAATATTTGTGTATACACAGTGACAAACATTTGTTCTGATTCAACAGTTTTCACTGCTCAGAATATATCCCAAAAGGACCAAAAACTACCACATTGCAAATAAATCAAAGACCACCAATTACCACAATTTTCTAAATTACAAAATAAAAAAATAAAAAAAAAGATTACACAGCTGGTTATGTGTAACTGTTGAAAAAAAAAAAAAAATGCAGAGCTTTGTCCAAACAGGGATACATTGTTAGAAAATAAGAGATCGATAATTCATCATGCCACGTGCTTTCATTTATGTTACTTAATGAGTTATACAACACATCGGTCTGTATATGCATACAGAGTAGGTAAGGATTCTCCATACAAAATGCATGTTATTTTGCTCCTAAGTAAGTCTGAAACTTATTTACTGCCTCATCTTTGTGTTGTAATGTCTCAAAAACAAATCTGTTTCATAATGTGGAAGTTCAGAGATAAATGTGTATTGTATACCATAAAATAAACCAAAACAGCTCAAATAAAATAAAAAATAAAAAAGTGAAAACAATAAAATCATGCTTGACAGCAATAAGAACACACAATGATTGATTTTGTATTTTCTTTAACACATATGCAACATCTTAATGAAAGTTTATTTTTTATTTTTTTTTCTCCTGAAAATCTGAGATGCACTTAGTTTGCACAAAATATTTTCATATCAACATTGTTAAACGTGCACAAAATAATGAAGAGGGGAAAAACCAAAACAAAACAAAAAAAAAAACCAGAACATTTGAAAATGTACCATATCTAAATACGATACCGAACAGTAAAAAGTGTACAAGTGCATAAACAGATGTAACAAAATAAAGCAAGTATTTAACATGTAAAGATCAACACAAACAGAAGAAAAGTTAGTTGGCAAAATTCAACATCTGAAGTAAATATTTTCTCATACATGAATAATTATTAGAAATAATAATAAATGTGCTCACTAAGGATAAAGGGTATCTGCCTGAAACAGTGCAAACCCATTATTATTCAAACAGGTTGTGTTAACACCCAGCCTCAAGATTCCCAATGTGAACATCACAAAAAAAAAACAGACTTAAAAAAGGTAAATGTGTACATCTCTAGACACGAGTTCAGTTTATTAACATCAAGCATCAGTGAACAGTATATACAATCATTTTTCAAAAGCTTGAAGAAACCCAGAGTTTAAAACATAAGAGTTACAAAAAAGGATCAGCAATGAAACCAGCTCTTCATTCAACTTTGTACAATTTCTCAAAATGCAAAACGTTTCACCTTGCACAGTGAAATCCCAAGAATATACAATTGTGTGTAATTCATTTTGCCAGTCCAGTTTGAATAAATGTTTTGCCACATGCAAAAATTACTAACTTAGTGTTTGAAACAAGGTACATTAAAAGGCACTTTCAATTTAAATTTAGTACTGTTCTGAATAGGAGACAAAAAAATGAGGGGAGTGAGGGGGGATGTATAAATAAAAACATAGTTGCTATGTTTCAACTGGCAAATTAGCCCACTCAAAGGGTTACAGTGATAACGTATGTCTGATTTTCTTAATGGTAAATTAAACATTTCAATTGAAGCAATTACCATAAAAATGTATTAATGAATTACGTCATATCTGGAACAAATCATTAGGATATAAAGAGAAAATCATGTGGATTTTTTTTCTATTTATTTTTTAAAACACACAACTCTAGTTCTAATAAACACTTGTAAAAGAATGAAACAACCATGCAGAAATAAGTTTGAACAAAAAGATATATACAGAGTACAAATTAAAAAGGGAACAAATTACAAGTGCCTTTTAAGTATCAATGGTTTTAATTATGGGACACTTCGCATGTTAAAATCAGGCAGCAAAACCCTTATTCTACACATCAAGTTGCCAAAATAAATACTTCAAAATAGTCATATCAAAAAACATGATTACTCATACAATCCTAATTCTGAATGCATTATTTCTAGAGACATTATTTCAACATGAGACCAGATACAATGCATGAATGTTTGAGAGGGTAAGAGGGGAAAAAGCCCCATAAACGAGGAAACCAAATTATCAATCCCATTCACCATATTCACAAACACAGAATCTTAGTAGAAAGCATTAACATCCAATTCAAATGTAACAAGTTTTGTTCCAAAAACTGTACAGCAAACAAAGAAATGGGGCGAATCTGTGCCCTTTTAGAAATCTACACCCAAAAGCTGAAAATCTGATTAGCATTAATCCTTTTAGTGTCAATGGGTGAGCAACACATTCCTTTATTGATCAACCCTTTGGCACTCAAAGGATTGTTGGATTTTAAACTAATCAGGCGTACTTAAACTAGTTGTTCCAAAAGAAAAATCAACTGTACTGATTTCTTGCTGAGACTTATATCTCGTAAACAGTCATCCAACGCTATTACATTTTAATGTAAAAAAACCTATTTCACATTTAAGCAGCCTACTCATGTAAACTAGACAGTATGTTTATTGATGTCAGTACAAAGCTAGCCTAATGCTACAGAGTGCAGACTTTTATCCTAAAACAAGTTTTACTTTTCTTGAGCCAATCGGTCTGTCATTTAAATCAACTACTGCTGCCATGGCTTCATCTCGGGATTCAAAAGCAACCATGGCTTCTCCTGTTGGCATGCCCTTTTCACTATATTTTAAACACAAAGACCCAGGGATCAGCTGATAGCCATAAAAGAAATCCAGTATCTCATCTACTGAAACTGTAAAGGGCATATTCTGCACTCTAATAACAGTTGGCCCAGGTTTTCCAGACCCAGACCCAAAGCCTGGGGGACCACTCATTTGCATATTTCCTGGACCAAAACCTGGGGGAGCATTTAACCCAGGACCACTACCTATGCTTGGAGGGGCAGCATTAAAGTTAGGTGGAACATTTGTATTCGAAGGAGCACTGCCAAATGGTGGCGGCGCATTTCCAAAAGCAGAAGGTGGTCCACTAAAATTATTTGGACCGCTTCCAAAACTTTGGGGATCCATTGAAGCATTTGTCACATTTGTCGAGACCGTTGGAGGTGGTGGCCTCTGATCTACAAAATTGCCTCCTATAACAGGTGGTGGAACAGGAGGACCAAACGTATTAGATGGACCAGTAAAGTTTCCTGGGAAGTTAAAATTTGGACCACTGTTATTTTCTTTTAAATTACTTGCAAAAGCAAATTCATCTCCACCAGAACAGATCCCTCCAGATGGGGGATTAGAATAATTCTGCATTTTATACCCTTTTCTACCTTGCAATGGAGGATTGTTTTCAATCTCCTGCCTCTCCTCAGCATTAATTAGATGCAAGAATGCATCTCGTCCATTCAGCTTCTTACGGTGAAGGCGCTCAGACTTATGGGCATCATCCTCACTTCTGAACTGAACAAGGGCTTGCCCTAATCCTTGCCCATTGTTATCGGTCAGAACCTGTACACTATTCTCCTCAACCACTATACCTTCCAAAAGGAAAAACTGAAGAACATCTTTCCTTGAGATATTGTAAGGTAAATTTGACAAATGGCACCACAGTCTGGGCATATGTTTTTCTAAATCAACATCCAGAGAACCATCTTTGTGGTCAAGATAGTTAAAGCTCTGCAGTTTTTTACGTATCAGATCTACTTTTTCAAGCATTCCCTTTTTAGATATAGGATGAACTTGAATAAATCTACTTCCCATGTACTGCTTATGACGACACAATGCAGTTTTATAATCTGCCTCATTTCTAAATTCCAGAAAACCTTCACCTGTCGCTTTGCCATTGGGTCCATAGGCTATGTATATGCTATCCTCAACAATGTCTAATTTTTTAAAGAAATCAATAATATGTTTGTTTTCTGCTTCATATGGCAAACCTTTTAAATAAACACAGAAGCCATGTTCATGAGGGGATCTGGACCTCGAACGTTGGTGTGCACTGGGAGATTTGGATCTGGGCATTGACTGCTGCATTAAATGGGGAGGTCCATGATGCCCTATATTATGTTTTATTATATGACCACCAGAAACTACCCATTGTCTCTCAGTTGCAGGACTGACTTCAACAAAACGCTGTCCCATTAGCATTCTATTCCGTTTCAGGGCTTCAAATGTATCATGGGGAGTGAGAAGCTTCACCAGAGCGCTACCATTGGGACGTCCCATGGGGTCTTTTAAAATTACTACACCATCTACTCTCAACCCATGAAAAAAATCCTTTACATCATTTTCAGATATCGGAAGTGGCAAGCCATGTAGACAAACATATGGATCATCATGATTAATTGGTGGTGGTTTCATTGTATTTGGAGAATTTAACTGCATAGTATTTACAGGACCAAGAAACATAGGGTTCATACTATTATTCATAGCAGAACCAGCACCATTCAATCCAGCAGGCAATGGCCCCACAGGTGGTGGATTCAAGGGTGGCATCGAAGATATTGGAGGAAGTGGGGCCATAGGTGGCACTGGAGGAACTGGAGGTATAGGAGGAACTGGGGGTAATGTTGGTACAGGGGGTAGAACAGGCATTGGGGGAATGGAAGGCATGGGTGGCAAAGCTGGCATTGTAGGCATAGGAGGAATAGGTGGTGGTGGTACTGTAGGAAGAGGGGTGGTGCTACTAGGCATAGTAGAAGCAAATGTTGGGTTACAAAAGCCTGCACCTAGGTTTGGTGGTGCATTCCCAACACTGGCAGTTGTAAGTGTTGGGACATTCTTATTACTTTCAGGAACAGAAGTAACAGTAGAAACTGTGCTTGTAGGAGGGCTACTAAAATTTGGTGCCGTTGTTGGCAAATTTACTCTGGTCATCACAGAACTACTGGCCATCCCAGAACTAGGAGGCGGTCCAGACCGGTTAGAGTTTGCAGGTGGCATATCGACATTTGCCGTTTCAAATCGCCTGCGACTGAGCTCTATCATATTTTGCATTTCAGTTTTACTGCTTAACAATAAGGACACCTTTGACCCTTTGATTGTACCACCTGTGCGCATCATACCAAGCCGTGCATCTTCATCAGTAGCAAAAACGATGAAAGCCTCACCCAGCTCACCCCCTACAATATGCACACCACCATCAGGAATGGTCAATCCAGAGAAGAAGTGGCGAATGTCCATGGTCCCCGCCACAATTGGCAGACCTTGCAAACGGATGACCACAGCCATGCTGCGTTGAAACAACACACACCTGCAGATGAAAAAAGGCACGTCCACATGAGACAAACTTTATAAACAGGTTTTTTGTTTGTTTATTTAAATGTATACTTTAAAATGAAAAAAAAAAAATGAAAAAAAGCTATTTACTCCTCAGTGATCTACAAGTGATATCCAAATGAACATAAAATTAATGACATGTAAAAAGCAATATTTTTAAACCATTAACACTAAGAATGAAGAAATCAATGTGGAGGGTTTGTGATCTGAACCAGATATCAACAGTGAAGGGGAGAGTAATTTAGGCAGAAGCCTATAACAAAAGGGGAAGCATGATCCCCCTGCAAAGAAGAATGGCTTGATACAGAGAACATAAATGGATGGGGGTTTATCTATGAACCAACAGGGGCTATTTATTTATTTTTATTTTTTCTTCTTTAACCCCTTAAGGACTAAACTTCTGGAATAAAAGGGAATCATGACATGTCAGACATGTCATGTGTCCTTAAGGGGTTAATGAATCCCCAGTATAGAAGATGGGTGGGAAAAGTCTGGAACCACCCGTAGTAAAGATGGTATTAGGAAACACAAAAGGTAGGTAGAGTTTTCAGCAGGTTTTTTTTACAATATAAAAGTCAACATTAAAATTAGAATGCAAAAATAATTTTTTAAAAACGCGCAGCAGTTTTACACTACATGAATGTAGAATACTCAAAAACTTTTGCGCAAAGCATAAAACATTACACAAGGACCATGTGGTTTGTTACTTCAAGGAACTTGGAGGAGGGATCTTTCGATGATCAAATTAATAGTTTCATATAGATTTTTTTTTAAATGATTTTCCCCACATTAATAATTAATGTCACAGGTGTAACAATACTCTGATAAACAACAATACATGGAACACTATGAAACAAATTATACAGGCATTACTTTCCAGCAAAGTAAGGTACCATTTAAAATCAATTTGTTAGATAAATAAGAAAAAAGGTCTGCATGAAAAATAAAGGATCCATGGAATAACTCCCTAACAGCGTCAGTTGGTGAAGTTTAAAAATGGTGGAGTGACTTGTTGGGTTTTACCTACTTAAACCAATTTAATGCCATGCCTTGTTCCCAACCAGCTGCATCTCTAGACATCAATAAATGGGATAATGGAAACTACAGACAATCATAACAAGCACCTGTTTTTTCTAGCACACACTTATCAGTTGTCCTTACAATGCAAATATATTTGTGTGTGTGTGGGGTAAGAGGATTCAACAAAACAGGAGGGGTTACCATAACTGACCATTTCGACCAGCCTCCATTGCTCCCCCTAATGTCTCAATATGGGCAATATAAACATTACATGATGCTTAAAAACAAAACACAAGAACAGCAAAGCACTGCTTGCATTCAGGCAACTAAAAAAACGTTCTATTGAAATCTGACAAGATTTGCAAATTGTTCACCAAAGCATTGGATGCATTTCATTACACAAGAAATTAAGTGGAGCAGAGCAATTTTGGAAAGAAATTATTTTTAATACGCTAAAAGCCACTTACTGCATCATGTCTGGCTCTTTATAACACGTCAATTAAGCAGCTCTTTCTCAGTGCATTTGTCTGCTCCCCTAACAGATAATATTAAAAGTTTACACACTGTTTCTTTCATCTGCAAAGTGCAAACACATCAGGCTAACAAGTATTCTCCATGAACATGTTGAGGTCACTCCAGTGTATTTGGTTTTAGTACCAATATACCTAGACATATCCAAGGCCACCTTACTGGAAACGCCAGCATGCAGTGTGTGCATATTGGATAGACAAGTAAATAGAGACAAAGACCCAACAAAGGAGGTAAATGTACCGATTGTCTTCGTCTTTTACACCTTCGTAAACAATTATATAAAATGGGCACTAAACATTAGAAAATAATCAAAATCTTATAAGTATGCCTACAGTGTCCACTGCTCAGGGTATATCATGACCACATCTATCTTACGGAAATGTTCAGATGAGAGAAATAAAAAATGCACAACAGGTTTTACATCTACATGACTGAATATAGTCACAGTATTTATGAATCATTGTTGCTTATTGCAAACTAATCCTTTTTAGTTTTATTTTAAAACATCAGAGTTTGCAATAACCAATAATGATTCATAAATAGTTTGACTACTTGTAATACTTTCAGTCATGTAGATGTACATTTCTTTCCAGAAGCAACTCCTTAAAGCGACAGTCACCCCGAACGCTAAAAATCCGTATTTCATAGAGGTAGAATCTTTATGAAATGCTCATTATGCCTGTCGGAATTTCACTAAAATTCCAACCTAGTAAAGAGATATATACGGAGACGAAGCAGGGACTACTTTATTTTTGTATATTTCCTACGCCTGACACTTCTAGACAGCGGTATCTCTGCCCAGTATCTAGAAGTGTCAATCCCTCCCAGCGGTCACCTCAATGCTGTGCTCTCGCACAAGTGCAAGAGTTCAGCAGTGACGTTGGCTCCGGGCACCAGAGGCACCAGAAGGTGAATATGACCACGTCAGCAAAGGACAAGTTTGGGTAAGTAAAACCTTTACCTGTCTCTCTCTCCCCCCCCGCCCCCCCAAACACCAAGCGGCAATGTCAGGGGTTCTTTGCAAATTCTACAAAGTCCTTAGACAGCAACAGTGCCGCTTTAATTTCTCCAAAAGCAGTCAGAAAGGCTGCCTAACAAATAAGATTGCAGCCTTTCTACCCCTACTCTAGGTTCTCAATTTTTTTATTCAGTGAGAGGATACTGAAGGTTACAGAATAGCACAGCAAAGATATGACAGTAGGAATGTGCAAGAGGTTCACTAGTCCTAGGGTGTAACTTGGACATGTGTATGTATGTAGTGTGCAAACTTGAAAGCCACAATTATCCAAAACGAGTGCAATCTACGATATGTCAATAAAAGCCCAGGAAATAGCTGCTAAATATCCAAATGATGTATACACAGTTCATCATCAAGATTTTAGTCATATGGAATTATCACAACATATGCATAATTTGTAATATGTAAATAAAAGCCCAGGAAACTCCTGATCAAACCAATCGAGTGCACTCTTTTGGGATAAATATGACAGACACAGATAGAGATATAGATAGATATACACACACAAATATATATCATGTTACCTAACAAATGAAAAACAAACTAAGATAAAACTGTGCACTGGGTGGAGCTGAATCAAGATTCCTACATAGAGAGCCATATTTCACAACAAGTTGTGAAAATTATTTTTTTTGGTTTAAAAATAAGCTTATTACCAGTCTCCCAAGTTCTTCCAGAAGCACTGCTAGATCAAATACACAGGAATGCAGCAGCAATAGACAGCTAATAAAACAAAGAGTAAGCATGTTAGAAGTCCATTGCAACAGAAAGTTTCATAAACCATATATCAAGCTGAATTTCTTCATCACAATTCAGAATTAACCATTTGACTTTAATTTACATTTATCTACTTGTCATTCACGACTAGGATTTAAAATTGGTCTGACGTGGAAGTTTCATACAACATGGGCACCATCTACACTATATATTTAATAAACTGATATTGTAACATTTTTGCTTTCTAATATCTCAGAAAGAATGCCCCTTTAAACTTAATCAATGGATTTTAAAGCATACAAATTGGGTACATACCACTAGTTTTGCAATTTATTTTTAAACAGCCACATAAAATATACACTAAAATTTGATAAAAAACACATGCATTACACCCTTCCTGTTAGAAAATACTCTTTTGCATTGCCATGATACCCATCTATACACAGAACAGTTTTTTTTTTTTTTATAGATTTATACATTTCTACATAATTATCCCCATTGCAGCATACCATTTGTAAAAGACAACAATTTAAGCTACTTAGGATGGAACGTTTTGAGTCTAATATTGTTGAATTAAATAATCAATTTCTATTGAATTTCATTATTTTTTTTATATTGAATTCCACAGTCTGTGCATGCCCTACTAAATCAAAGACCCCATATTTGTATTATTCTGCATCGCCTGGCTAGAGCAATACCCCACTGTACAGCAATCAACAATGCAGTTGGAATTCAATTTCTGTGGCACAACTTGACACAGGCTCCTGTAGCCAAGCCAATTACTCAAACGTTTGTTATTTCTTAGGTCACACTTCTGCTGATACTCTTCAGCCCAGAGGTAATGTTAAAAAATGGTAAGCTAATGCAAAAGTGTGAACTTCAGCATATCAGTGCAGGCTAGAGTGTTCTTAAGTAAAGTGTCACACCATCTCAGCAGGACAAAGGTGTAATCAATCTTAGCCAATTAAATGCTTTCCCATAGGATAGCATTGGGAGGCTAGTGCACATGCATGACAAGAAGCTGTGCTGAGCCAATCAGACTGTCTCTGAGAGTATCTGATTGAAATAGTGGAGTTTTACTGCACTATTTTGGTGCAAGTGCATTTAGTGATGTCAGGCGTACTTACTGTTAACAGAATAAAGAAATATACAATAGCATAAGAGAAGAAAACAATATCTATGTTGCAGCACAAATAAAGGAAAACCAGTTAGTTATCCTTCAAACAGCTTACCTGAAGTATTAAGATGTTCTTTGCTTCCTTAATAAGAAGGGAACAACCAATCCTGTAGGCAACCAATTAAAAAAATCTTTACAACTGCAAAAAAATGAATTAAGGCAATAAAAATCAAACTCCAGCAACACAAATTGTGTCAAAGAAAATATTAATTTTTGTATCACATAAAATATGTTACAAAACAAAATGTTTACAGATCTATGGAGTATCAAACATGGAAGCGAAATCAATTTCCAGAATTAGACATTATCACTCTATACTCCATTGCTCCAGGTGCATGTTGTCAAATGACCTCTAGTATGCCTGGCAACTAGTGGTGCAGGGGTACTACATATTTTCCCCATAATGTGCAAAAGATGCCTCTGACATTTTATAGCGAACGTTCAAGAAAATCTAGAAACCATTTCATCTTCTCTATGGATATTCCATACACCAGCTTTGTACCCTCTTTAATGTGCGTTAGCACAAGACTGAAGCTCAGAGCTTATATCTTTTCTAGCATGGTGTTTAATGGGGAGAAAAAGGAGACCAAGTATGCAAATCTACCCCATCACTCAGAGTGGCTTCCCAGAATTCTTACTGTGCCTGGACTCCATTACGTGGAGTGCACTATGGCAAGATATCTGAATAGTGTTTCAGTTATATATTTCCAAACAGTTTGCTTAGCACAAATTTAAGATATAAACATGGTAGTCCCTGTAAAGTGCTTGACATGACAGATGTTCTTTAAGTTACAACATAAGCTTCCTTTGATGTACAAGGTGGCAAAACAGTATCAACATGGATAAAAGGATTGGTAGTATTAGGTTAGTAGCACAATACATTACAGGGTATGTCAGATTGTTACCGAGATAAAATGCTGTATGTCTTCTAAACAAATATATAATAAAACGATAAATTGACTTGGTAATATCAAGAGCTATTTTATTACAAAAATAAAATACTCTAACAGGAATAAAAGAAACCATAACTTGCTTTTTTTTTTTAATTATTGATCGTGATCAGCTTGCTGTAAACCCATATAATCTCCTTGGAAATGAGAATCCTGGTATATGCCACAATAACAAAAGAAAAGCTTACATTTTTGTAATCAACATGTTCACAACTGATTAATTCCAGAATGACAATTGAAGTTATGTACTCAATATATTACCCCACACTATGGAATTACCAAATGTTCCATAAATTCCATAAAACAGCACTACAGTGTATAAAGCCACAAACACCAATATCTAGAATATATTTCATACCAGGAAATAAGACATGTTCATATATGTAAAAAGATTTTGTAGTCAAAAGGAAAATGTACATATGAGTGACCATAATGCAGTGCAAAATATTCAACCAGCAAAACAGGTATTAATCTTAAAAGCATATTAACTATATCCTGCAAACATCAAGTACTGTGACACTTCACTAACCAATGCATGAAAATGTCCATTATTTTAATAAAGAGTGATACAGAAATATTTGCACGCAGAATGAAACCTAATTAACAGACATTTAGAATCCAGAGTAATGTATAGTTAATCTACACCTAACCTTGACACATCCAAGAAGTCTTAAAATCTCCAGTTTTTGCGAAGCAGGGCAGAGTTTACCTTAGTTTTATATGCCAGAGAACCAATGGTTGCACGGTTAGCTAATACCAAACACACACAGGCTTTTTTTTCCCCTTAAGCAAAAATAGACTCAAAAGTTTAAATGGAAAGATTCAAAAATGTTGTGTGCAGTCAATCGGTTGTGTATTCTATATTGGTCCTATAATTAAATTTTTAAGATCCTTGAACAACCAAAGCTGTGAGCAAAAAAAAAAAAAAAATTAAAAAAAAGTTAAAATTTAGGTTCACCACTTTTGCATTTTTTTTTATTTTTTTTTATAGGACACACATGAATTCTACTTAAAACACCAGAAATTTAAAGCATTGTTTGGTGGTATGTGGAATTCCCATGTTCTCAATGTGAAGTCAAATATAGGAATACTCCAGACACCATAACTACTTAATACCAATAAAGTTGTTATGGTGTCTAAAGTCAGATGGTCTGACATACATTATAATGCTTAAAGGGACCCACCGAATAAAATAAAATCAATATTTAGTATTATAAACCCAATTAAAATGTATATGCATTTTTTCATTAGGGTATATCTAAAAGCAGCTTGCAAAATCTGCAGATCTCTTGTCTGAAGCCTAAGGAAGCCATCCCCTTTAAATATATATATTTT